AAAAAAAAAAAAACAAAAATAATAATTAAATATTTATCATTAACATAACAATGTTAAATGAAAACTTGTTTTTAATGGTTTGTACTTTTGGGCCGGAGCTATACATTATTTGCCGCGTTTCAAACGCTGCGTATTCCGCGGCATTTATTAAAAATAAACCAATGCTTTTTAGACAAAATCGATGGACACGATAGTATACACTTTACACCATAATGTATAATGTTAACACCACTGCAGTGATTAGATCAAATCAGATATAACAAATAAAATTATAGTGACACCAGAATTCAATTCCTACATTATTTTGGACTGGTCTGCGACCATATGCACAGTGTTCAATATTAAATTGAATTATTAATAATATTATTAGTTAAAACTTTTTATTAAAATGAAAAATGAACTTATTATGTCAACAATGTTAAGTGAAAAAGTTGAAATATTAAAAGTTGTTAATGATTTTAAATTTGGTTGTCACAATAATTACTCAAATGGAGATATTAGATGGAGGTGTACAAATAAAAACTGCAGAGCTCTTTTACGAATAGATGCTGAAGATAAAATAAAGGTTAGTGCCAGTAATTTAATTCACAATCACGATAAAATAGAAGTAAATATTCTGAATCGCTAAAAATTTAGTAATAGGTTAAAACGTAAAGAGATTATAGACGTATCAGAACGACCAAGTAAATGATTTCATACACAATTAAAAGAAGAAAACGTGACCACACTAACATTAACTGATGTTACATATATAAAAAATAATATGCACTATGCACGTAGAACCAGTTACCCTCAATTACCAAATAATATCAATAAAGTTCATTCTATTTTAAACTGAATAGAAATTAAAACTATAGACAACGAACAATTTATACTATTTAATAACTCTGACAATGGGATAGTTATGTTTTCATGTCAATCTAACTTGAGCTTTTTTAGTAAAATAAGTGTATTTTACGTAGATGATACTTTTGATTATTGTACTAAATTTGTCGGTCAGTTATTCACAATTCATGGATTACATAATGGTTTTTATATTCCACTTGTATTTTTTTTTATTAAAAGATAAGCAAACATTAAGTTACTTTGAAGCATTTAAAGCAATTAATCACGAAATAACCAAAATAAATGTGGGATTTACTCCAAAAATAATTTACGTGGATTTTGAAAAAGCAATACATAATGACATTAATAGAATATGGCCAACAACCTTAATAAGAGGTTGTCGATTTCATCTCAGCCAATCTTGGTGGAAAAAAATACAAGAACTAGGATTGGCTTCAGACTATATCCTAAATAATAAAATAGGCAAGTACTTAACATTGACGTTTGGATTATCTTTCCTAGAACCACACGAGGTTGGAGATTTTTTTTCGTTTGAAATGTCTGCTATTCAACCAGACGAACACAAAATTATAGAATCTACTAACTATTTAGTAGATACATACATAAGTGAAAATTCAATATTTCCTCCAGAATTGTGGGCAGAAAAAGTTGTAGCTCACAAAGAACAACGAATGCATGCGAATCTTTTCATTCGAAATTTAAAAAATTTTTTGATTCACCTCACCCGAATATATATAAATTTGTAGAAGTTTTAAAAAATATGCAAACTGATACTACAATATTAATAAGAAGTAGTCTAGAAAAACAACGAGTACCTAGAAAAGCAATAAGACAAAGAATACTATTTATAGAAAATAAAATTAAACAATTAAACAATAATAAAATTACAATTAAAGATTATGTTAACACATTAGCCAATACATTTAAATACAGAAAATGATATTATTATATTTTTACAATTCAATTTTAATTTTTTTTATAAATAAGTATGTTATTATGACTTATAATTTATATTATTATGATATTATTATATTTTTACAATTATTAAATTAAAATTTTTTTATATAACGACATATCTTTATTATGGCAATATCACTTTAAGAACCCCTAACAATAATTAACCGTAGATGAAAAGGTAACACGAATTGCGTCCGGGACGCAATTCGTGTGTACCCTACTTACCATAAATAATTTTAAAAAAAATACCTGTGCGTTTTATTTTTTATTTTCAACTTATGAATCATATGACTTAAATACAATTTTTGTACTATGCCTATTTTTTTAATTTACTTTAATAACAAATTTAAAAAAACCAACATATTTTTAACCTTTTGAGGCAGTCCTAATACTGCATGAAGCACTCCTGTAGTGGGTTGCCGAGCGGGCCAATCCCCCGATATTTTATCACTTGTAAAAAAAAAACATAAGCATGTGCTGTTTTATCAGAGATATTTGACTTTGGCCCCCTCTGTTTGTATTTCTACGAGCGCTCTTGGTATGAACTATGAAGTGATAAGGAAATCGCTTTTTGAAAAACAGGAACCGTTTAGGATTCACCTTTTTGTAAAACATGAGCGGTTTAAGAAAAATGGGAGCCGATTGCGCTATACCCATGCAACTCACCTACCAAATACATCGTAGGACGCAAGTACTACGAACTGATTACAACCGGTGGGATTCTAAATTATTGGGAAAAATGATATAGAGGAGCGTGATATTATACTACTTAAAAACTACTTTCCAAGCCCAATATTATTTTAACAGCCCCTCCTCCATTCATCAATTTTAAATATTACATTTCAGCTTAGTTATAACATGTTTGTTGCTACTTTATTATATTAAATATATAATATATGTAACTATGTAACACATAAGTGGATGTGCACTTATATTCACCCAATTTTTTGGAATTTTTCAGAATTACATTTCATAATATCATTAATTTTTTTTTACTTTCATTTCATTACATTTCAGTCAATTAAAAAAACAATTTTTTAAATTATGTAATTCCTATTGTTTACATAAATACCTTAATGTTTCAGTAGGGAATGAAAAAAAAACATTTTGAATGATAGTCTCTTAATTAGTGGTTCAGACGTGTTACGAGATATCTCGTGCGTCGTCGTGACCAAAAGTCCACTGTCGAACCCCCGCAAGCTCCGAGGGACCGTGTGGTAATCTTTCCTTCCCACGTGTCCACCATTATGAATTATTAATTACTGTAATCATTGTCTTTATGTCGAGTCGAAATACCCAAAATAGCCGAAAAACAGTTATGTACCATAACCAAGTCTTTTGTTCTTTCGTGTTATCCATATCACAATATTGATATGGCATAATCCGTCTGTTTCTCGTTCTGTTTTTGTTATGTGTCTCGCCACATTGTGCACTTGACGTTCCAACATTTTTTTCTCAATAAATACAATAATACAATCGTCAACAGTGTAGTATTATCGCCATTGCGACCACCTAGTCTCCTCATCATCGTCCATGGGTTTCATCGTCATTGAGACCCAAAACGACGTACATGTGTCGTCGTGCACCCACACAGCCACGCGCTCGAGTTCTCCATCCACCTAACCTAACCGTACGAGGAACAATCGGTGTAACACTCCAGTCAAGTCCGTAGAGGTGCTTCGTCCAAGAGCTGTCCGAACGCGTTACGTAAGACCACCAGCGATATTATATCATTGTGTGAGAAGTCGCTCAAGTCATGGTTTGTTCCGGCCTGCCATTGATCACATTGCCCGACTTCGAGATTGGTGCCAGAGCCGAATACGTAAGTCCGCCAGCAACGCTCAAAGTACCACCGGAATGAACCTTAATATTAAGTTAATTTTAAGTGTTGATGATTCATTGTAAATAAACTCTATGGTCATTGCACTACGACGATTCGGCCACAGGGCTCCCTGACCCCAACTAAGTTGTATTCTCCTATATCCCAAATCTGTAAATTCATCCTTCTTCGTTCCTTCCGATTGCCGCCATGGAGTTTCGTGTTCGCTCGGTTGCCTACTCGGTCGTGATCATGAGCAATATTCGCTGTGTATTGAGTTGCTTATCGACCTAACTTCCAGGGACAATTGAAACTCGAAAACAAACGACAGGTCCTTCACAAAAATTCGAACCACTACAAGACGGTTGTGTCAATAAAAATATCATTACTAGTCCACAGATGTATACAATAGTTTAATATATATATATATATATCTGTGTAGCGTGTACACTATTGAACTAGGCAAAGAACAATCGTGATGTAATATAAATAAACTATAATAAAAATAGCAAGGTCTAATACCATAGCCAAGATAATGAACTAATATCAAAAATATTTTTGAAAATTGTAAAATTTATTAGGATATCATTGAAAAAATGTAATCCACATCTAAATGAAAATTATTTCGAGCATTGGTTTTTGCCATATCCCCGTCTTCGCAAAAAAAAAATAAGGAGGAGCTTTGTACTTTGCACACCCCTTAAATTCGAGCACAAAAAATGCAAAGATTCCCCAAAAAAAGTTCATTGTTGCATTGAGTGTACTTGAAACATATTTATATCTTGAAAAGCTTCATGTCAAGCATTCTGGAAAAAAATGTAAATGCATCAAAATCCGAATCCTATACTAATAAGTTATTAGTGATAACCATCTACATTAACTGCTTTTTATCACTCTAATTATTTCAATAAAAAAATTGAAACAATATTATTTGCATACTTGCAGTACCTAATGGATGTTGAAAAAGTAAATGCATTTAAATTAAACTCATAAGCTAATTGTTAATTACAGATAAAGTAGGTGTTTATGTACACAACAGAAAAAACGATTTGTTTTCATATTGTTTTTATTTAAGAAATAAAAAAAATACTATGATAATAAGTACCTCTTCATCCCAAACCCTGATTTTCCCGAAACTAATGTTTAGGTATACCTAATAGTCCTAATATCTTCATGATGACCCAAAGATTTAAAACTAATTTCATGATTGCATTATAAATATATTGTAAATGCTGCCATGCTGATATTTTCAATCGAATATTGAAATAAAATACGTTGAATCGTTATGTAATTCAAGAGAGTTTGTGTATAAAATAAAAATAAAAATAAATTATACTATAAGTAGGTTTATATTATTAAATACTTAAAACACGCAGAATATGTAAAATAAGTCAAATCGTTTTATATAATTAAAATTTGTTTGTGTATAAAATAAAAAATATTATATTATGAGCAGCAGCTGAAAGCCGATTAATAACTGTAGGTAATTGCTGTCAGATCATGAATGCAATTCGAGCTCTTTAAGTTTGCAGGCGATTTGATCACTATCCTTTTGATCTGACTGCTGTTTCTTGTGTTTTAATTTCACAATAATACATGTCATGTTATCGACACCTTTTGAACGGCGTTCGGCCGAGAAACATCTGCTGAGTAACTGAAAATCGGATGTATTATTAATAACCTATTATGTATTATATACTCAAGACAATAAAATTATATTTTCTCCTCACTTTTTCGCAAACTGACGACAGTTGTATACCAGGTTCATGGATGTGATTTGCTATCAAGTCTACAGCAGCTTGACTACTTAATGTATCCCATATACCATCACATCCCAATACGATGAAATCGCCGTCTTCTGCGTTTAATACTCTGCCCTGTATATCGGGTAAAGCGATAACAACTTGTTCTGTTTCCAGGAGCAAAGAATTCTGCTTATACATGTGATCACCTATATTATACAATATACATAGTAATGGAGTATGTTCGATGAAAATATATTAATGAGTTGTCAGTAAAAAGGGAAAATAAAACTTTTACCGAAAGCTCGGGACAAATTTAGATCGCGATTGATTCGTCCGTCGTATGTAACTCTTGCTCCAGCTGCGCGAATTCTTAATAACTCTGGTTCATCCCTAGGCTTATGGTCTTTTGACATATCAATGGCTTTAGTGCCGTGAACAGCAACGACACACCTGGAGTCTCCAATGTTAGCCACATAAAGTTTTTTCTTGTCCACTAATAACGCCACGACTGCGGTGCAACCACTGTAAAAGCCATACTGTAAACATATAAAAATAATTTCTGTTACGTAAAATAAAAAAAAATATTAAGCTAAATTAAAGCTAAACATTAATATAAAATCAGTACCTAACTAAAGTTTTAATGCAAACATTGAGTCAAGTACATTATTTTATTTACGTTAATGTTTAGATTATTATGTTAAAATAATATAATCTATGTTCGATCGGTTTTATATACAGTAATTAATTTATGTCATATTTATCGTTGAAATAATAATCAGACAATAATCCTTATAATAATTATATAATTAATAATAAATAATTTGTCTGATAGCAAACAGGCAAATAACACAAATAAAAATAATTTCGAATTTCATGAAACATATTACTGTATGATAACATATATTATAAAATACAAATTATTAGTAATATTTACAATCTAACTAGTTACCATTTTGTATATGTCTTCATCATTGTTTTCGTTGTTGCCATCTGCATTGACGCCTAATTCAACGAGAAAATTGTAATAGATTTAAAGATTATTCAATAAGTAATATGTATTATAAGAATCCATTTTTAAAATAACATTAATAATGGTAGCTGTTATTGAGTAAGTGAAGCTTATAATTTAAAATCACACAAATTCGTATAAACTTAACAAAATAAATAAATTCACTACCAATTATATAGTATTGTATTACTTTAAAAAAAACGATTAAGAAGTGACCTTTGTTAGTTGATTCTTTTTTTGTCAATACCGCAAGCAAAAATTACATCACCGTTTCCGGTCAAGCCAATAATCAACTGCATTAAAAGTAGGTATATATTTTTTAAACGTACCACCTCCATTCGTTGGACCATCTTGTTCTGCAAGAATTTTCATTCTTTCCAAAGCAGTCTTGGAACGCAAATATAGGTCGAAATCTAAATAGGCGTTTTTCAGAGCATTTTCGTAATCGCCAACATTAAAAGATTGGTTTTTTATCATACTAGGTAACTCTTCAACTGCTAATCGAGCTACCTCAGCTCCACCGTGTCCATCAAATACACCAAAAAGCGACATGTTCTTGTCAAAGTCTAGTAGACTGAAGTGAGCATCCTTAAACGAGAATAATATAATAATAATAACCATACTATATTTTCGATACTCGATGTATAATAATAGATATATAAATATGACGCATCATTTAAACTCGTAATTATCCGTAAAACCATAAATGAAATTATTTATAGTTGTATAATATAATCGGTTAACATCTACTTATATTTCGTCTGTATACCTAATAATATATAGTTACTTTAGACCAGGGACTTGACCCTTTAATTTTTGTAGTTTTCGATTATGGTTCTGGTATACAATACTTTCATTAAAAATACTGGTTCCGGTTCCTGTTTTTGGAAAATTTAAATTAATAGTCAAGGTTAGGGGTTCCGGTAAAAGACAGTGCGGTGAATCAGTCACAAATTATAATGGAGATAAAAACAAAATTAATGATACATGTAAAACCCGATATGATTGGTTTAAAAATATAGGCACCGGTTATTTAAAAATATTTTAATTAGGTTCCGGTTTCCAATATTTTCTAGTTTTGTAAATTCTCGTTCTTGTTTAGAACATGAGACGTTACGCTGTCCATATAGCTACCAATGGCCAACTTGAACTTTCCAGAAAAACACCAAACACAAGTCGAGACCTTGTTAAGCCGGAATATCGTTTATTTGTTATTGAGGAGAGAGAGAAAAAAGTAAATAAATAATTATATGTACTGGTTACATGGGAGATAATTATATTGTTTTTAATTAGGGCCGAGAAAGCTAAAGACCCTGACTGAAATCATAATAGGTGGGGAATAACATAACATAGGTACACATACTATATACGCATAAACCATAAAAACATAGTTTAATGTCCCCACACACTGCAGCGGTGGCGTTGGCGTTACCACTGCCACCGCCAAGAAAAAAGAATTTTACCAGAAGTGTGTGTGGTCCTTTATATGATGAAACAATAATAATAATTGACCACAATAATGGTGACGATGATGATAATAATTTAGAACAACCTCGAGAGGGGGCACCGGCGTTCGTAGACGCCGAGGTACACATTACATAATAATAATTGTTTGAGTATTACTCATATACCGGCAAGATATATGTTATCAAAACATGATAATATAAAAAAAAAATAGCACCATCGTCCACTGATTCTGTCCACTCAGTGAAAAAGCCGTGGACACGGTTCATAGATGGTGCCTACTCCATGATCACACTTAAATAAATATATATATCAGGGACTGGTCGTTCTAGACGACCATCTGACCGGAAAAAGAACGAGAGTGAGTCGCCGTGGTGTTTTCTATATGGTATTATCTCACTGATAACGACGTCGGCGGCAAAATTAAGTGTATTTAATCTCTACAAATATAATATTATTAAATTGTATCAGTCACCACATACACTACGTCTTTTTGACATAGAAGCGACGATCATTGTTAGAATAATATGTGATATTGGAATTTGCATTAATTATTAGCAGGTTAAACGATATTGCAATTTTAAAATTAGATGAAAAATAATTGAATTTCGAAAACATGATCAACATTTTTTTGTCTATAATACAATCTTAATCAACTATTGAAGGGGAAAGTGAAAGTGTCGAAGCTAGTTTATAAGAAAGTTGTTATAGTTCAAAATGGATTATAATAATTATGTCAGTATATCACGATTTTCGTTTCAATGAAAAATACTACGTAATAAACATCACCAGCTTTAAGATACTCCAGAGTCTTATATTAACTACCTATCCGTAAATTGTATATTGTCGAGTTCCGATCGATCATCATTATAAACGACGAACGTACTATGTTGTCAGGAAATAAAGATTAAGCAATAATATACTTAAATATAATAAAATAAATTGAATTTGATATTTAAATATATTTAAATAAAACAAAAGTTATAATGTTGCAAAGATATAAAACAGTAAACATACGTAAGTACAATATAATAATGTAGGTATAAATATAATACTATTGAAACCTCTCCATAGCAGACACCATAAGGAATTATAAAAAAAATATTATAATTGTAATTATTATATATAATATTAATTTATATATTATCTATTATAGACACGCCTTTATTAAGTGGTGTCCGAAAAAAAATCCAATGGGTATAGTCCAGAAATGTCCACTAATAAAAAGGTTGTAATATAATCGCAACCGAAAAAATAATGAAAAGTATTATAAAATATGGTAATATAACCTTATATAGTTTTGGCAGTGTTCAATACATATACGTTATTAGTTAACTATAATAATAAAGTGAAATTTTTTTTTTTGGGGGGGGGGGGGATATTAAATGTTTCAGAAATCTGACCCTTCTTCTTCCCCTCTCAAATTACTTTCACTTATATTTAACTAATATATAACAATTAATTACTATATTAATAATTGTGCTATAATAATGTATAACGTTACTTCTTGTCTGACACGCCAACCCTGCATGGAACTGACCCCACACACCAACGTGTCATCTTCCATGTCTTCTGAGACTTTGTCGGTTATCGGATTGTCGAGGTAAGTACCCATGATGGTCAAATATGTGGATATGAATGATGCTGTTGTATTGTACAACAATAATAATAACGATAATAATAGTATGTGGATGAGAGGAGAACGATCTATACGAACGTTAGTCACCCTGTATCGAATGACAACAACTGAAATCATAACGACGACGGTCGGACGGCGTGGCAGCTGAATTTTTATCCGACAACAAGATGGGTCAGACTGCCAGAGGGGATATTATTATAGTGCAGTCGGCCCAGGTAAGTGCAACAGTCATAAGGTATAGCTATAATATTATTTTGGAAACATCGATGATTCACGTTTTCGTTATATCGATATTGTACCTAACAGGATAATATCGAGAATAAACTTTCAAAGAGGGTAAACGATTTTATATCGACTGTTAGTTTAATATTTTGACGATATAAGCTCATAATCGATTTTTAAAAAAACACCAAACTAGAATATTAATATAATATATTATACGCTTATATTTTATACTCCTATTTCGTAGGGTTAAGTAAGTCGTAAAATATTGTTGTTTTTTTTTTTTTATTCGAAAAATATAATTTCTACATTTCAACCGTAGGCTTATTTATACACGTATCGCTTGTAACATAAATCAAAGCACGGTGTATATTATAGATGCACACGGATGTCAAAATAGTTTAAAGGCGAGAAAAAAACCGGTTCCATCCAAGACTGTGGGAATTCGGGATCTCTGACTGCAGCTGCAGGAGATTAGAACTGGTTTCGGTGCGTTTGTATAATATTACTATATTATTATTATCGAATATAATAATATTATGGTGTTTTGTAATCGTGGATAATAAAATATCCTTGTCACATTTACTCCTATATATCTACGTCGTTCCTGTATTATAATAAATAGGCGTGCGGATGCAGCTAATGGCGCTTTCACTGCTCCTGACAATTTTTTTTTAATTCTGCGAGTGGGCTTATGAATATTTATTTAAAAAGCTTACATAGTAGGTACCTATGAATAATTAAATATTATTGAATTGATAATAAAAATAAACATGACATATAAAATATTTTCAATTTTGATGGTTATAAAAAATTATAAAATAATTCATCAAGGCGAGAAGTTTAAGTTAAGTCCGGCCAGTCTGGGTTTTATACTGTCAGACGTATCTGAATGTGTCTGACGCACGCATGTAGACACAGTCATGCACATTGTCCATTAGATGCCATAACCCTTTGGCATTATACATGCAAGGTATTATTACAGTGGCGTATTTAGGGTCGCGAAACCCAAAGTTTGAGAGCCCTAACTAATAACTTTTATAAGAAAATGTACAATAAGACTTATTTTGGAAAGTTAAGATTTAACAAATTATTGACGGGTTATATTTTTGATATAAAATATTTATAAATATTTGAGTGAAACATATAACACATTTGTAATATGAATACAAACGAGTCGGCTATTTAAAGACTTTTTTTATCTGAAGAACTAACGATTGTGTTTTGTTTTTTCGATGAAGACCACGTGAACTTCAATAATGTTCTATTTATTAGCATGAAGTCTTAACTTTTAACTCAAAGTATGTAAAAATGAATATACTTTAATTTTTTTCGGGATCTTATGAAACATTGTTTTATAAATAAAAAATAATAAATAAAATAATAAATCAACTATAAATTAAATACAAGTGATGTGGTTTATGAGATTCTTCTACTGTTATACGTTACAAACTAAAATAAAAAAAATAAACACTTTTGATTAATTAAAATTGTTTTCTATAATTTTTGAAATTACAAATGTCCTGTTTTTAAATATAAACCTATAGCTTCCATCTAATTCAGCTTGTACAATTATAATGTCTTGTATAAATATTGCCGTCGGATCTTGCATTCTCTCTCAAGATTTGCTGTTCAATTTTTTGTTAGCTAAATGGGTACATGCTTACCAAATACCAATCGACAGGTGTAGAAATGTTACTTATCTGTAATATTCGTACAATAGTCTATGTATACTAACCTTTTCGTCTATGTATACTTATTTAATAAACTCTTCATTACGCTTTCTAAAAAAAAATATTTAAAGTAATTTAAGAGAATTAAGTCATTACTTCGCTTTTTCAGACTTATTTATTTCCACATTTAATTTTTAACTTGAAATGGCAAGTACGAAATTTTCACGAACGAATTACGAATAGGTACTACTACACTTCTGTATACGACTACCTATATACAAATCGAGCTGGTTTCCATAAAATAATTATAAATTTAGAAAAAATATTGATTGAACTCTACGTATACATGCAATACAGCGTAATAGACATTTTGTACCACATCATATTTTATCACTTTTTATTAGTAAGGTGTACCTACGCTGCAAAATCTGGCAACGTCGCACGAAAAAAAGCAGGTGAAAATATTGAAAACGATTGCATTCGCGCAGGTGTGGAGAAAGGTATATATGTTCTCAAGCATGTATGACCGAAATATTTATGGTGCCTATTGAGGGAGGCTACAACAGCCAGACTACACGAACAGTCACAAAGCATTTGATGAATCGTCACTGAATGACCCTTCAACATATTTTAGTGGCCCATGGTGTGGCATTGTTCGTCCATTCAATTTTATCGAACCATTAAATTAATAAATTGTTCATGCAACCCGGTATCTTATTATTATTATATTTATACTGTTAACTGTTAATGGAAATGTGGCACTACTTCATTGCAGTATACCTAGGGTGCCATATTCCTAAATACACCACTGATAACCTATGTTAATACAAAATTATGTCTTAACGACCTTTTACGCTATACCATATTATAATTGAATGATGGGTATACCGTATAAATACGTGTAGGTACATCATTTTCACCTTGTGCTCCTGTCGATTCTCCCAATGAGGGAAATGCGTTAGCTGTTTATTGTACTATCAAGCCGGTTAAAAAATATGTTAGCTGTGCATCTGCAGACACAGAATCCTGCGCACACCCTGTATAATATTATATCAATATAAAGATAATCTATAGGCCATCGTCTGATTGGACAGGGCTCTTACAACGATTTCAGCGAGGTGCGTCGTGTTCGTTCGTGACAGTGAGAGGGTGCGAGGAAGGAGTGGGAATAGGTGTTGCACCTGCCCGGCGCGGCGTTCACCCGACACGCACCGCCTTTACACATATTAAATCTCCTCTCCCCCCTCCTCCTCTCACTCTTCTGCGTCCTACGTTATATGAAAGCATACGATATTGAATATACCTAAATATTATTATACCATAATTTAACATGACAGTCGCAAGAGGTTTTAGGCCTAGTATTAAATCGGGTATACTGTATATTGTAACGCAGGTACCAACGGTCGACTATAGGAGTGTGACCTTCGTCATTATATAGTCGTTAGCATAATGTTTTACATTTTTTTATCGGCTATACATCTAAGACCAGTGATGATGTTAATAATAATAATTTATTCTACTCGATACTAATATAATGCTAGTGATGGAGAACACCGAAAAACCACTCTGGACATAATTAAAATTCCTTGTTGCGTCACACAGCGCCCATGAAGATATATTACAGTATTATTATTACACAACCACGGAACTCTTTCCGTGTAAGCCGACGAAGTGGAATATATTATTAATGACATTACTATATATTAATAGGTAAATTATTATACCCACACTGCTACACGTGGCGTAAACGGCCAATCCGGCCGGATTCGTGTGTCATTGATGTAGCGGCGGGTCCGTTAACCCCAAATCTTGATAATGATAGGATTATATTATAATATATGGATGGCTATAATATTCTAAACAGTACAGAATGTCCACGTAGGTTGTATAATTAGTGGTGTATGCATAAATTATATTCTAGTCGTAAATTTCAACTATTCTACAACACCGGGCTGTGTCTGCTATATCGATAGTTAGAACAACTTAGCTGTTGCAGCAAGCGTCACTTTTATCTTAATTATAATTATTCAGCATTAATACAATGCCACCAAGAACTAGTATATAACTGTATATAATATATCGATTTCGAAATTTCTAAATCACATTATATTAGTATTCAGATTTATTTTCTCATAGCGATGTCACTTATGCCTATTTTATTTTTTATTCAAATTTGCCATTAAACTTTAAAAAAAAGTGTAAAAGTATTTTTGGCACTTAAATTTTGTTAAGCGTCACTTACAAAAGTTTGACTTCCAACCATCGGTATTGTTTATGCGAGTGCTACGTGATTTCCAACAGGCTATCTGTGTCTTTAGTTATAGGTCATCGTAAGCTACCTCGATGTTCCAAATAATAATATAATTCACATTCATATATAGGTAAGTCGTGCAAGTTATATTTTTAGGTATCTACTCACTCAAATAATAAAATTTACATCTAAGATATTTATTTTTAGTCTTTGAGGATTATGTGCTTTGTTTTGAGACTTCGAAAAGTGTATGGTTTTTTTTCCAACGCTGCAGTTGGGCCACGAAAATTATGGACACTTATTCAATTTACCAGAATAATGATTACAATAAATTATAATTATCGATTAGGGTTTAACTTTTATTCTCCAGCTCCTATTATATATATACAAATGAATAAATTGTCAATTAGTCACCAGAAAAATAACAAAAACTTAGTTGTAGCAAACAGTTTTGAATACCATGATCTACATTCGACACATTAAATAATCAAGTTATTATGGCGAGCAATTGCCCACATGTGGCATTATTTCACGAGGACCAATAACTGATCCTAATTCAATTGTTGTTAAAAATCCATTCAGTATTAGGTACATACATCGCAATGGTCCAGCATTGTTACTGGTGCATTCAAAGAATCAACATAGTTTCACTTGTATTTACGAGAAAATTACAATAGGTGCTTATATTGTTGTACCTTATTTTTGCTGACAGATAGTATACATGACATCTGTGTGCCTAATCAAATATTTGTATTTTATGAACATTGTGTGCAGTGTCGGGGTAAGGCTATAAGCTATAAGGGATCACTTTCCGTTCAGAAATTGTGTGGGGGTTAAGGTACATTTCATATCCCCCCCCCTCCACTGAATTTCCAACAGTAGCCATTTTTAATTTTTCTAAAATAAAGAAAGCATGCAATACATTTAACATTTAATATTTTTTTAAAGTTTATGTTTATCGTTATTTTTAATATTAATTCGGAAAATCATTTTTGTAAATATTGTAACAAATGAAAAGTTTGTTCCAGA